TTTTAAACCGATGAATCTCGCAATTTCGAATAGGTCTGACCGTCTGACCATGGTATGACCATCTGACCGTCTGACAGTCTGACCATTCTGGTACAAAAAAAAGGACCTAAATTAAATTCAAACGATTAGAAAAGTTGTATAAGGGTTATAAGAATACATTTTCATCGTTTTAGAGTTCTAATTTCGTGTGGAAAAAAAAATCTACCAACATAAATCAATTGTGTCCAATGTGTTACACAAACACTACTAGTAGTTTAGATCTTCTTTGGAAAGAGTTACTTTGGCATCAAAAGAAGATGCTCAGTCCATATTGCTACGACCAATTTCAACTAGATAAATCGATCATACGAGATGATTATTACGATGTTAACACTTTTAAACCGATGAATCTCGCAATTTCGAATAGTTCTGACCGTCTGACCATGGTATGACCATCTGACCGTCTGACAGTCTGACCATTCTGGTACAAAAAAAAGGACCTAAATTAAATTCAAACGATTAGAAAAGTTGTATAAGGGTTATAAGAATACATTTTCATCGTTTTAGAGTTCTAATTTCGTGTGGAAAAAAAAAATCTACCAACATAAATCAATTGTGTCCAATGTGTTACAATCAGTCGATTCCCACAATTTGAAGTTCAATTAGAATGATTAGAAAAGAAGTACAAGTCGTACACATGACTAAGATGGATGCACCGTGACTATCTCTCCATTAGCAAATATAGCAGCTGCAATCTTTTCGCGTACATAATACATCACTTGATCATTGACCTCTGACAATAGGTTTTCTTCACCCTTCATGAGTGCTTCCGCGAACTTGAAATAATTTTAAAAAGTACAAATGATTAGAAAGAGTTTTAAAAAGTACAAATGATTAAAAAAAGTTCAACAAGTACAAATAATTAAAAAGAAGTACAAGTCGTACACATGACTAAGATGGATGCACCGTGACTATCTCTCCATTAGCAAATATATCAGCTGCAATCTTTTCGCGTACATAATACATCACTTGATCATTGACCTCTGACAATAGGTTTTCTTCACCCTTCATGAGTGCTTCCGCGAACTTCAAGGAGTACAAGCCACATTCATTTCCGGTTTCATTATGAGGTAGGTCTTTGACAATATCAATCATAAACTTCTTTGTGAAGTCAATGAATCCGCTACCGCACAATGCAAAGATCTCTGGAATGACACTGGATAAATGACTTATGACTTTAAGTGTTGCTTCCTTCATCTTCCGGTTGCAGTCAAATACTTGAATCAATGATTCCTGAAAGTCCACTTTAATGGTGATCCAGTGGACGCTAACATAACGATTCTGCAAAGACGGAATGTTCACCACACTAACGCCTTGGTACCGGTCCAATCTTTTATTCCTACCATCAAACGGTAACTCGCCAGTGATGTATTTTTCAAGTTCTCCGAGCTCAGTCCGGCCCGATTCCCACCATTTGAAGTTTTTAATGCATTGAACGTCGCAAAGAAAGAAGGACGTCCGCGTCTCTTGTGCACTTCCACTATTCACAATACGGTTCCGTATCTCATGTAATGCTTCGTCCATATGCTGTAAAAACAAAAAAAAACATACAAGTCAGAACCTTAATGCCACAAATAACGAAAATTTAAAAGTTTATGAATACAACACTTACGTTGTTATCGAGCCATATGCCTTCCATTAGAAGATCTTCCCAAAACTGTGATGGCCTAATCACATTCAGACCCGATCTCCAAAGTCTCTCTTCACTTGGTTTTTTCATAAAGTTGAATAGCGCGGTAGCTTTGAGGGTGCTTGTTTGAACAAAACTCTCATCGCGGAAGGGACAACCATCAATTACGGGCTCTTTCGGGCACCATATATAAACCGACTTCTCTTTTGGTACAAGAGGTTCAGAGATCGTACCTTCGCTGTCCACCTTTTGGTTTTTGGTCTCTCTCTTCTTTCTTTGCTTTTTGGGTTGTACATCAGCCGAACCAAATGCAACGTATGGACTCTTGATAGTTTGTTTTCTTTTGCGTTTGGGTCTTCCAGTTGGAACCTCCAAATTCGGTTTCGATGTATCCTCTACATCCTTCTCTGCACCCTTCTCTTCTTCATCTTTCTCTGATGCATCCTCCTCATCAGACTTCTCTAATGCATGCATTATCTGCATTCTCCATACCCTTCTCCTCCTCTACATCCTTCTCTGCACCCTTCTCTTCCTCACCTTTCTCTGATGCATCCTCCACACCCCTCTCAGATTTATCCTCTGCATCCTCTGCATCCTCTGCATTTTTCTCCTCTTTCTTTGATGCATCCTCCACACCGCTGTCAGATTTATCCTCTGCATTCTCTTTATTGGTCTCTGATGCATCCTCCACACCTTTCTCTGATGCATCATCTGCATCCTTCTTTGATGCATCCTCCTTAGGAGGTAGGTCTCCAGTATCATCGACATGCTTAACATCAATCTCGATATGCCTTGGAGGAGTAGCAGAAATCCCTTCTTCATCATCCTCCATATCACCATCAGAATTATTCGGAGTGCCACAAATCTTTTCATTATCAGCTTCTTGCTCATGTGAATCTGGAGCATGTCGATGATACTGGAGACCTACCTCCTAAGGAGGATGCATCAAAGAAGGATGCAGATGATGCATCAGAGAAAGGTGTGGAGGATGCATCAGAGACCAATAAAGAGAATGCAGAGGATAAATCTGACAGCGGTGTGGAGGATGCATCAAAGAAAGAGGAGAAAAATGCAGAGGATGCAGAGGATAAATCTGAGAGGGGTGTGGAGGATGCATCAGAGAAAGGTGAGGAAGAGAAGGGTGCAGAGAAGGATGTAGAGGAGGAGAAGGGTATGGAGAATGCAGATAATGCATTAGAGAAGTCTGATGAGGAGGATGCATCAGAGAAAGATGAAGAAGAGAAGGGTGCAGAGAAGGATGTAGAGGATACATCGAAACCGAATTTGGAGGTTCCAACTGGAAGACCCAAACGCAAAAGAAAACAAACTATCAAGAGTCCATACGTTGCATTTGGTTCGGCTGATGTACAACCCAAAAAGCAAAGAAAGAAGAGAGAGACCAAAAACCAAAAGGTGGACAGCGAAGGTACGATCTCTGAACCTCTTGTACCAAAAGAGAAGTCGGTTTATATATGGTGCCCGAAAGAG